GAGCTGGAGGTGGCAGAGTTAAAGATGCTAAGATTCTCTTTAGGAGTGACAAGAATGGACAGGGTCAGGAATGAGGTCATTAGAGGGACAACACAGACAGGGAGGTTTGGAGAAAAAGCTAGAGAATCCAGATTGAGATGGTTTGGACATGTGCAGAGGAGGGACAGTGGATACATTGGTAGAAGAATGTTAGAGAGACAAAGAGGAAGGCCGAAGAGGGGATATATGGATGCAGTGAGGGAGGACATACAGATAGTTGGAGTCAGAGTAGAAGATGTAGAGAACAGGGCAATATGGAAATCAATGATTTGCTGTGGCAACCCCTGAAAAAAGGGACAAAGCCAAAAGAAGAAGAAAAACTCACGAATCACTTTCTGCGAACTAATCATTCTTTGCAAACGAATCTTTCATTGCAAACAAATCACTCTCTGTGAACTAATCTTTCGCTGTGAACTAATCACTATGAACGAATTACTCTGTGAACTAATCTTTCGCTTCGTTCTCGCAGATTCGTTTCATTTGTCACGTGACAGAGAGCTCGGGTTTCTTTTGCTCTCATTCATCTTCACATTGTGGTGTGTTTTTATTTCTTAGCTTTTCACATGGTTTTAATTGCTTATGGCATTTTGTATACTTTGTAGACTTTGTCAGCGGAAGCAAACCACGTTGCCTTCAGTATTTAGTGTCGGAGAACTGCAGCTTCTTTACAATGCCCGCAATAGGGCTAAAGCGTCACCTGCTGTAAAACGAATGAAATGATTAGTTCAAGATTTGTTCACGACTCGTTCATTTTACTGTTTGAGAATCAAACATCAATATCATTTGTTTATTACTTATTAATACTTCTGTCAGGTTTTTATTGTGGTGCTTGGTTTTTTTTCCTCCTGACCCAACCACCATGTTTGATTGTAAAAAGTTGAAAAGCCATCCCAAGGGAAACTCTTGATGGCAACTGTTAGTTTTAATTGCATTGCATAAGTTTTTTTTCTTTTTAATGCTAGTTTTTCTAGATTTTAGTGAGTTAAGTTGTGTTCATCTACATTTTAATTATAGGAATGCCATTTCTTAACACATGCGCACTGGTATGCTGGTGTCCATTAGTTAAGGTTTATTTATTTAGTCATTTTCAACAAGATTGAAATCACTCACACAACCTCAGAGATTACCTGTGTGTGTAATACCAAGGAAAATTAAGTGACACAGCTTCCAACAAAGAAGCACTACAATATTCACAAAAATATTAACAAAAAAGCCCTTAATGTCCCTCATGTGGAATGACTGTCCCCAGTTTCTCCTTGCACTTTGTTTCGGTTAAAATCGAGAGTTCTACTAATTGCAACAATTAGAACACAGTTTGTGAGTTATCATGATTTACTCGAATTACATTTGCAGAGAAATAGTGTGAATAATTAGAAATGCTGCATGAGCAAGAGAAATAGTGGTAGTAGATTTAGCTGCTCATGCTCCAGTTAGGGGGATTAAATTGTTATTCGAGAAAGTAGTAATGTGGAGGCGTGTGGTTTATTTTTAGTATGTGTCTGACCTGTCTGAACTTGTGTGCATTCAGACATGCATCAAAATAAAGCATTGATGGATGAAAAATTGAAAAATTGTTGAATTATGTGTTGACAACACATTATTCCAACTCTCTATGTTTCAGCTTTGGCGTCAAACTTTTTATATGAAACCAATTAAATGTTTTGTTGTGTTTAGAAGAATAAAATAAGAATAAAATGACGTTATAACTCCTGTCAACACAAAGAAGTGAGTCATAATCGATAAAAAAATAATAATCTTAGGTGATTTTCCATGTTGGCTCACCCTAATGATGACACAGTGGGTGAAACAGTTTTTCTGAGCCAAAACCTACTAAATGGGTTAGGGCATTGGCAATCAGTTCAAACTGGGATGACATAAGTTTGTCGTCAAATCTTTATTGAAATCAAAGGCCACTGATATGTTATACTGCCTGAAGCTTAGAATCAGCACAGAGCAGGCAAATCAAAGAGAATCCTGACATCTGAGCCAAAAGTGAAACCAGAGGGTTTTTTTTTTTAATTCCTTCTGGATTAATCCCACTGTTATTTGACCACGTTGGGTTATGTTATTGAGTTGTCATCAAAGGGATTGTTCTCACACATCAGTAGCAGTTGCACAACGAGACTCTACATCACACCCTCTCTTTTCCATCTCATTATTCTACACACCTTTCTTTTGACGCAGCTGCTGCCTCACCCTGCCTGTCAGCTGCAACTGTCCATCATATAGCTTAGATTTCAAGCCATTAGTGTCACATCAGTAACAACCCTACATCTAAGCACATTGGCAAGGCAGTGTTTTCTTAAGGCACTCTGATGCTTGCAGGCTACTTATTAAGGCACAGACAAGGGTTTTGAAATGGAGATAAAGGATTGTTTTAACTAAGAAGCCAGGGTTACTTTTTCCACTTTACCAAAACTTTGGTTGTGATCTTTGCAGTATTCTTTCAAGTGTGTGGAAAAGTTTGTATTTTGAACAAATCAAGAAAATGGGACGCTGTTGTTATACTAACCCTTAAAGCTTACCTCGACAATAATCTTGCTCAGAGAAGTCAGAATTCATCAGACAAACAAAAACCAAAATGACAAACCCAGTTTAGCTGATGACTACTTTAGTTTATCCTTTTAAAATTCTTTGGCCTTTTTACCCACCTTTTCTAGTTCAAATGCACATCTTTATTGTGCAGGGTTTCTTTTGTTTTTTGTTTCACTTTGTTCTATGAGTTGTATGTATGGCAATACATGGTGTCTCTTCTGCAGTAACATATACTGTGGGTCATTTCTGGGTGGCATGAAAGGAAGTAGACTTGGGTCCAGAAGGTTTCAGGTTCGAGTCCACCGGCTGCCAGTGTTACCAGTGGCACTGTCATGTCACCGTCCTCACTCACTGCTCCCCGTGCAGCTTAAAGCTGCCCACTGTTCACTTTGGTGATGGGTTAAAAGCAGAGGTCACATTTGGTTGTGTGCAGTGGTGTGCTGTGTCACAATGACAAGGAGATCACTTTGATTTAAAAATTAGAGCTAGCTATTTGGGTTGCCTTAGGTGCCTTCTGCTTAAAATCTTTAACAGAATAACTGTTTTTGACAAATGATTCATCAACTGTATCAACATTTGTAAAGCCAGATACATATAATGAAGAGAAACATACAAATAGTATATTGTTCTTTTCTAGTGACATTTCTTTATAGTAGTTACTAGATGTTTTCATTGACTTTGACTTTATTAGTCATTAAACAAACTAAGCAAACATTTGTAAAAAAACAAACAAAACAAAAACAAATGTCACTGGAGAGCTTCTTTAAAAATGATGATGATACAGCAGCAGGATTCAACCCACGACAAAAAAGAAAGTTATACTTAAAAGAAATAACCAAAAGTACAAAAACTAAAGTATATAGTAAAAAAAATTATATTAACATTATGTATGCAATAATTAAATTATACATGTTGCACTTCATTGTGTTATGTTAGTGGCATGACCTCCCTTCACATATACACACTGAACTGTGGAAAACTTGTACCGCTTGTACCTTGTATCAATCTGGTCCATGGTGCAAAACAGTCACTGATCACTGTCAGTGATCTCGATTTCTGATCAGCCTCTGATCTGACATCTTGACAAGCAACAAACATAGAATGCTTTGTATTTTAACCTTTTTGTTGCTTACTTAATATTTTATTTTGCTCCATCTTCTTTGTGTCTTTACAGGATTCCCTTTAAGATTGGACAGCCGAAGAAGCAGATTGTCTCTAAAACTGTAAGTCACTCAAACAAAAACACAATATAATGCACACATATTTAACAAAAGACACTAATTACAGAGAGATAATAAAATGGTCTTAGTGAAGGTTTAATTATTCTTTACCATAACTATTCCAACTGTTAGACATAACTTGATTAGTGTGTGACTTTGCCACAGCAGGAAATAAGAGAACATAATCAGATATCTGTTTGTCTGGGCTGACCAGGAGAGCAGAGGTGGCCACCTTGAAGTAACAGTGAGTGGGTGAGCTACTTGCTGGAGAAAAACCACTTCCACTCTAATAGTCCTGTGGCCCAGCAGTCACTGTCAGACTGGGTTTCCAGCTTCCTGTGCCCATCCTAAGCAAATCCCATAGAGTGGGATACAAGCTGCCCATTCAGATGAGCTGCCACTGACAAAGTGTCAACTGCCTCCCTCTGTGTTTTGACCTCTGTGTTTAAGTCCAGGAGCCCACAGAACCACAAGAAAGAAGCTGCAGAGGCCTCTGCAAGTTACTTGACATGGACAGGGAGACAAACAGGGACTTACTGTCTCTCACTGACAACCTGATATGATTTGTATTTTACATTGGACTTAACTACTGTAGACCATCTTAGTTTATTAGCTAATACCAATACACCAACATGTTCCTGAGAATGTATAGGATAAACCTGGGGGTGGTGATCCCATCATAGCACTTACTGATAATAGGACTTCTATAAAGTACATTAAGTTTTTGTGAAGTAGATACAATTTATCAAATAATATGACAGTAATGAACACAAGTTCTTTCTAAATTAAGAAACTGAATTTGCTGTTAAAAATAGGGGCGATTTGGACTTATGTGGTCAGAGATTTTAGTATGTGTGTCTTTCGTCATGACTATTTATCATCTGTAATTACACAAAATATACACACAATTTCCAAATTACAGGGTTTTAAATTAATTATGTCCTGTCTTTGTAGGTTGAACGGGACTTTGAGCGTGAATATGACAAACTCCAAAAGTAAGTTTGCATTTATAAAAATGTATCCATTAAGTTGAATACATGGTCCTACATTGCTCTCATTGCACCTCTATAAAAAGGTATAACATAATTTTTTTGCTTATGGGTAAAATAAATTAAAACAGTGTTGTTAATACTTTTTAAGATTACATTAAGGTTTTTTAAAGCTTTTACAATGTTTTTTTTACTGTGTCTAGTCATTTTAATCACAATCACATTGTTGTGGACAAAATTCAGAGCCAATCAGAAATAGACTTTTAAAGCATTAGGTAAAGCAGGGTAAAATTGATTAATTGATTATTGTATTCACACAATTATAATGTGTTAAATTGCTTAACAATAAAAATATTTCTCGCTGCACAAATCTCTCAGATAACTGTCTCAGGTTATATTCAACCACACTGAGTTTGATCACAGTTTATTCGATTTGTGACCTATGCCTTTGCTATTTAAAAATGTTGGCCTTCTCTCAAAAGAGATCATAGAAATTACCTGGGAACCCTGCAAAACCAGCAGCAGCACCTTTTTTCCTCTCAGGATTAAGTGGATGAGTCAAAGCAGACAACATGTACAGACATTTTATTCTCCACCCCAAAATTCCATATCAACACAACATTGTTTATTTGTTTCCCAAATAAAGCAACTGAAGAAAGTTGCTCAATAAAGATTTTTCTTAAAAATGCAAAAATATATTTTGACTTTGTCATTCTTTTCCTATAGTTCAATATAAAATATATTGTAAGCTGTAGGTAAAGATACGTTTATCTAACCCACAATCACTGTAGCACCAGTGCCAGAAGAACAAAGAACAAAGTTTAAAACATGACATTCAAACGATAAACAACATCCATCCATCCGCCCATCATTCCAGATGGAATCCAGCCAAGATTTTTTATACGGCTAACATGTCATTGAAAGTGACATGAAAAAACTTGCGTCATAATCTCACTCTGACCAAACACGTCACACAATGCTAACATCAGTAGCCATTATCGTTAGTTGCCAATTATGTGGACCGAATGTAGTGAACTCCAGGTTCTGAATCAGGTGTGATCAGCTGTTATGAACACGCATCTTCATGCCCGACTTCATTCCTGTTTAACAAAGGGTCTGGTGACAGCACCTTAACATGAGTAGGACTTGTGTGTGTAGAGGCAACTAAAGTGCAGTAATCGAAAATGTGTATATATGATTGTGGCAGCATATCCACAACAATGGAGCACTTACTCAAAGAGCAGCAGCTGTTCCTTCATGCTGCTCTATTAGCACCTTTTGGAAAGGGACCCTACACTCACTACTATTTATCTTGAATGACTCTCACCACAGTACTGACGGATTAGTAAGGTGCAGTGTCTCAGTGCCAGGGCTGAAGCATCTCATCGACACATTTGTCACAGTAAAATGTAAGGCTTATTTGACTAACTGGTTGGTTTGTGATTCTTTATTAATATTTAAACATTAACAGAGTTTTGGAAATATTTAGGTAATGCTTTTATTATAGGTCAAGTTATTTTGTTTACACATAATATAATTACTTCCACCACTATCCTGCAAAAGTGTTCTCCCTGCAATGGGGTACTACACTTATTCTCATCCCAAATTTTAATAGTATATGTTATTTTACAAGGGTGTAAACTTGTGGCTTGCAGGCCACTTGTGTCTACAAATTCATTTTGTGCAGTACAACTTATTATGTTACTGTAAAACTTGGGTTTCTATCTTAAAACCTTATTATTAAGAAGGGCAGCTTTGCTTTTAGTTTTTTTAGTGTTTGTGTTGCAATGTGGGCATTCACAGGTAAATAACCTGCCATTCTGTGTCTCTGATTGACTGATCTTAACCACCTAAACTAACCTACTAGTGGTAGCAAGTCAATGCCAACCCTGACCTAGGGAAAAAATGGATTGCAACCTATAACCTACTTATGAAACTGATTTTAGGCAAGGATGCTAATGAGCTATACTTCACACCTTGAGTTGTTGAAGAACAAAATACTCAATTTAAAGGATATATTGCTAATGCAGTAGTAATAAGGACAATTGTGTAAGTTGAGCATTTGTCTATTATTGAAAGTTTAAGATGTTAGGCAGTTGGACTTTGATAGTGTTAATAATACAGTTTTCTAATTCCACTCATATCATATTTTTGGACCTTCGACTGGTTTGTGACTCAAAAACACTCATATAAAACCATAGCATGGAGAAAATGAAAATAAAAATAAAATTTGTTTTAGTACATAATATACATTTTTATGTGAACTAACAAAAGCATTTTGCCTGAGATACATGCCATAATACTTTTAGGTGTTTACTGTAATGTTCTAATCATAGATACATCATCAAATAGTGACACTCAAATCGGTAGAAATCAGTTCAGCTGATGGATGGAGTATAAATTACACAGTTATCATCTACTGAGTTCATATTATCCCTCATTGAAGTGAGGGAAATGAAATCCCATCACATTGCCCCTTTTTTCATGAAAGCTGGAGAAGTGATATGAAGGCAGTCTCAGGGGAGATTCGAAACCCCTCATTTGCCTTAATTGATATAATGAATGGCATGTGTTCCAGCCTCCATAATTGCCATTTTTAACACCCATCAATGGAATATGTGCTGCAGAGTGATTGAAGACAATAACACTTTTGAACGCAAACATAGTTGACAGCAACAAGAATGATTCCCTATTTTTGTTAATTAGCCAACAGATGTTATAATAACCTTTTTGTATGGAGTCAGTGAAATGTGTAATTCTCTGAACCACGGGTTTATGCGATAATTTCCTTTTCTGTGCTTTTTTTTGTGTTTCCGACATTCTTTGTTCATGTCAACACGTATTAATTCATTTTAAAAATTATGAATCAGATAGATAGAATTTATAGTGTATCACATGGAGTCATTTCACTACTTCTGTCCTACTCTACTAATATCCGCTAACATTGCTTGTTTCTAGTATTTTCAGCGGTTGACAGTATTCCCGAAGCCTTATTACCAGACCAAATGTTTGCTGATGATTATTCTTTTCCTCTATCTTCTCCTTCTTGTCCCACAGGCTGGAGGATCAGACGAAGAAGCTTCACAAGGACATGAAGAAAAGCACTGAGGCTGATTTAGGTGTGTTCTGCACTGTGTGTGCTTCCACCTGGTTGCCATTGATCTGCTATTGTTCACCAACATTCTTGATGTGGCTTGTCAGGTTTTTTTTTTCTCATGGGAAGAAAGGCATCAGATTGTATGTTGCTGCCTGCCGTACAACAGTAAAATGTAATTAGAGTGAACCTACCTCCACCTTATTCTTTTTTAGAATTGTATTTAATTTTATTTTTTTAACCGTATCATTTTACAAGTTTGGGAATTTATATTGGTGTGTTTTTTCTAATAATGCTGCTAAGGCTTTAATAAAGTTGTTTAGATCAGTGAAAGAAAAAAAAGAAAACAATCATTTTATGGGTTTAGGAAGTGGTCAGAGAGAAAGAGAAAGAAAGAGAGAGAGAATATTCTGGAATATGGGTGTCATCAAAGTGTGATAGCTGTTGTAGCTGCCCTAGTTAATAGAATCTCTTTATCACACTATTCCTGCCTCTACCAACCACCACTAAACATTCTCTGCATTACAAGTGTTTTCTTCAATAGACATCATTTATCACTGTAAGCCGATAGTGTCTGATTTAATTCCGCTGACTTATCTCATAAACAGTTAATTTTCCTGCTTTGTCTTTTGGATTTTCAAATGCTTGTCATCCCAGTGTGTCCCAGGCACACCAGGAAAGGTTGAATTAAGCAATTTGCTAGCTGTCAAAAAAGTGGATTCAGAAATATCACACCTTGGTAATTGATTGGTTGAAAATTGGTCCACATGGAATCTCAAGAGAAGTCTGTGAAAAGAGACCTGGGGATTGTTCAATTGTTCCTTAAAGCTCATTTTCACCACAGCTTCTACCTTCACACATGTCTGTGTGGTGTGCGTTCTGACATTGATGACATAACTTGGTGTGTGGTCGCTGTCTAAACAAAGGGCAGGGCTTCAGATTAGTATTAATTTGTGCTGTTACTGATGGGTTTGGTGAATATCCGGCAAAATATAGGGTCAGTAGAGGCAACACTGTGCTGTGTCATATCTTTTTTTTCCCTAATGGCTGACTTCTGTGAAAACACACACAAACATTTTTTAAAAGAAACACAAAAAACATTACTATAGGATTGCTTCCATGGGGGTAAGGAAATGTAGCTTACACTTAAATGAAAAGGCTTTAGAGTAAGTGTTTGAGTAATTTAGAGACTGATCTTTCACACAGCAGTATCAAGTATGTGTTTAACGGTATTCTCCGCTCTGTGTACTTTTCTCACAGCCATGTCCAAAGCTGCTGTGAAGATCTCTGCAGACCTGCTGAGTAATCCTCTGTGTGAGCAAGACCAGGCCTTCCTGGAGTCCATGACTGCGTTAGATACAGCCATGAAAAGGATGGACTCCTTCAACCAGGAGAAGGTCAGTCTCCCATACTACAATTTGCTTCAAAATGTGTTTTTGTCATTTCTTGCTGTTGTAGAAAAATGTTTTGTAAAAAATGTCTTTTTTTTAAATACCCTCAGCATTTTTTAAATACACTTGAATACACTTTTTGGTTAAAAAAACACACTTAAATATTTGTCAGTATTGTGCAGCATGTTAACTAAAGCTATCCGTATGTGTTTCCTTCTGCTGCGTCTGAAAAGCGTCTGTGTAATCAACCTCTATAAGCTCAGGCTACAGTGCATCAGCTGTAAAACATGATGCGTTTGTGACTCACATGAGACTAAAATAATTTGTACAATGGAAATGGTCTTAGGGGAAAATTATGCCCATCTATAAAATTCACAGAAGAATGTTTTGGATCCTTGTTGAAACAAACTTTTAGTTCAAATCTAACAATGAAGGGAGACAATGTGGCATCAGAAGGTTATTTGTCCCTTGATGGTCTGACAAACGTAAATCTATTTGTTCATCAATGGAAATGTCGTGTATACCTGCACATGTTTCCATGCCGGGTATGAAAGGAGCATCACTATTCTTTTATCACATATGTTTGCATTGTGGTCTGGAGTATAAAAGATACGGTGTATCTCTGCTTTATTACTCTGTTAAGTTGTCTAAGTTCTCTGGCTTCCAGGTTTCTTTGGTGTATTTTCTGGCTATATTTCTGTTTTTGATTAGAATCATTGCTACAGGTGTATATAAAATGTGAATCATAGCGACATTGTATGTGTTTGTCCTCCAGGCACTTGCACTGTGAAATATAGACTTCTGAAGAAGGAAAAACAATACAGGAGAGCAGACCAAAGCATATATCAATTGACATCGGTGTGTTTTTTGTGGGTTTCTTATTGCCCTACTGTTAGGTGTTCTGGACTTTTCATGTTTGTTGCCTTCAAATACCTTATTTCTTTTTTGGATTCTGTTGAACTAGAGTGATTTTGTTACCTGTTCCACAACAATCCACAAAAAGATAGAGAATTCCGTATGTTTAAAAAAGAAAAAATGGGGAGAGTGAATTTTTTTTCCATTGTAAAATGGTAGTGTACGATCTCAGGAACAGCAAAGCATCTGGAAATGTACATATTTGGATGAGTTGATTTATATTTTCTGTGGAACCTCACAAACTGGATGGTTTTCATTGGAAAACAAACTGAAGAAGCCTATTCTCTAAGATATGAAGGTGAAGCATCCTCCGAGTTACAACCAAAAATTCTCATAGTCGAGCTAGCTTCCAATTTTACAATGAGCACATTGTAAACCTATCAAGAATCCGTTTTTTTTAAAACAACAAAAGTCAGGAGGTTGATCTATTTAACAGAGAGCAACTTCAACAACACAGTAAAAAAAGAGTTTGGAATTGAATGTGAAATATACTCAAAGGATGAGTTAAAGGCACTGAGCCTTTAAGTCACTTTTGTTTCTTTTCTTTCTTCCTGTTTTCCATTCCACTCGTTCAGACTGGCTCATCAAATTTTACAGGACTGATTTTTGAGTGACCAGACAAATTAAAATGTGGTTTGGACCGACCATGTGAGTTCGTGACCCCGGGCATGTATGATCCAGGACTTGGCTTGGTCTAGTGCCCGAAGAGTATGCCAATAAAATTGTTTTAAGCAACTTTAAATTTTTCTAGATTTTTTTTCCATATTATACATAGATTTTTTTTGTCTTTGATCTTGTATTTGAGAACATATTTTTATTCTGGCATGTACACTTGCACTACAAAATAAAAATTGTTTCTCAGGATCTGCACTTATTCAGACAGAAAGACTCCTGGAATTCCTTTTCTCTAGACACTTAGGATGTTAAAGGTTTTAGTAGAATTCATATGGGGCCACAATTGAGAAGTTTTTTTACTCACCGTGTACCCAGCCTTAAACTAGCTTCAGCAAAGCTCAGGGGTTTTGTACCAGAGTTAACCTGCTGGACAAAATACAAATTAAAACATTTGGTTTGCTAAGGTCTGCTTGGCCCTGGAGTGTTGTGGCAAAATGTGACATAATTGAGGCTGGAGTTTTAAAAGAAAGAAAAGGAAAACTCTTATAACTATGACAGTTTCAAGGTGGAGTTTTGTTTTATCTTATACAACTCTTTATTTATTTATTTTCTCACCTCTCTTTCTTTCTTTGTAACTAAAGAAGTAATGGTCTTAAATGCTTCTTGAAAACAGGCAGATGGAAATCACATTCCATAAGTCACAGGTATCTCAGTAAATCATGAAGTCAGACTTTTGACATTCAAATCTGATAGAGGGAACCTGACCAGACAGCTATGCCTGTATGTTCTCACCTCTACATTCAGGACAAATAACAACAGTACTATTAGCCTGTTGTATCTCTGTACTCTTCCATACAAAGCAAATTCCTGTGTAGTAGTACTTTTATTAAGCAGTACTCCCAAATCTACTACCTCATTAAGGCACTATCCTTACATTGTCAATGATTAAAATAAAGCGACAAAGCAGACGTTGGTGAATTAATGGACCTGTGTTCAGGCTTGAGACAGAAATGGAATCAGTGTGAGTTTAAATACCAATGTGTGTCATAAAACTAAATCAATACGATTAAAAAGAAATGAACAAATTGAAAGCCACCCACATGGCACTACTTGTAGCCACAACACCAGCAGCTAGAGCGGAGCAGTGGTAGAAAACTTGTCCGCTGTGCTATGTTTGAATCTCCCTAGTCATCCAAATTCCACCTGTGGGAAGTGTTGTCATCACTGCATAAATTGGACTAAATTAGAAAATGTTGTGTTTATACCTGATTAAGGAACAGTCAGCAAGGTGTACTGTTCTATTGGCCGGCCCTTGTAGTACATATGTCAGGCATTTATGTTGCGCTTTGTAAAGCCCACACTCAAGCATACTAACACTGGAAGAATTATGTTCTGGATAAACCTTTGCTGCTCAAGATGGAGCTGCAGAAGTGGAATAAATAGCTGTAGCACACCAAGTAGCTGAATTAACACTGTCAGGAGTATTCTGCCATCCGCCATTGTTGTTATTGTATGACGTTGAGCAGGGGCGACTTGGATAAACGGTTTTAGAGAGGCAGGGTTGACTGCATTGAAGAGTTACAGAGAGGCGGGGCTGACCATATCCTCTCACTCTCTCTGCTCACACCGAGACGCTGTGCGGGAGTTTTCAAACTTTTGCACTCTAGGACCTGAGCATGAGTTCTTCACCCCAAATTCTGGATTTGTGTAAATGTAAGGCTGAATCAGCAATATGGCTCTGGGATCTTTAGTCGTATTGTTGCTGTGTAAATGCCACCCTAAACTGCAAAAAGAAATGCCAGGTACTTTTAATCCCTGCATACGTTTTTTATTGGTGAAAGTCCACAGTCAGAGCTGTATTTTTTTTTTAATAAAACCCTTTGATAGTGAGTGGATTCTGACAGCTAGGTGAGGTCAAAGTTGTTTTTCTGTGATCTTCAGTTTCACTAAATAACAAGTCCTCACTGTAAATGGTCCATTCCAGGTTTGAGCAGGATTTTTGTGTTTCCTTTTGTAAGGTGTCTAAAAGTGAGCCAAAGACAAAGAAAGGCAGTGTGAGTACTTTTTAGTCAGTCTGTTTTGTGGATCACCTCAGGTTGGCTAGGTGTTTAATATCCAGTACTTATCTCTCCCAACACTTTTTCAGCATCTACCCTTCAAGCTGAGTGTTGATTCTGACGGCACATAACAGCAAACCCTCAATGCTCCAGCAAAACAGACACAAAAGCTTCCACCCTTTGCTCTTCTCCATGTTGAGACGAGATGCTCCGCCGCGGGGCTTGCGAGCAAGAGAGCCAGCAGATAAAACGTGCAGTGATAATGAAGGCAGCAGTGGCCCAGGTCTGTGTGTTTATTTCTGGGGCTGAGGAGGGCGCACAGCCCCGCCGGCACACTGCAGCCGAAGCTGAGCCCCAGTGTACATGGCGGCAGCACAGTCGAGAATGCTCCGTTTGGAGGGATATTGATTTCCTCTGCGATCTGTGTGTATTTTTGGGAGGCCTGTGTGCCGGGATGCCCTCTGCCCTGTGACTCACTGATGGAGACTGCTGCTTGAGCACCAGCCTCCGGCTCTGCAGGGCCTCTAAGGAATACCCCCCTCTCCTTCACTCTGTGGGAAGGGGCAGAGGGTAGAGGGCACCAGCATGCTTAAGCAAATCTGCCGTTGTTGCACTCCTTTTTGCTGCTTCTCACCTTAGAAGCATCAGCAGCATAGCTCACATCGGGGAGGGGGGATGGTGTGAATATGTAAAACAAAGAAATGTGAATTCCCATGTACTTATTTGTTATTGGTTCTGTGTTTTTCCCTCAAACCACAATCAACAATTTTGTACTTGGAATTCTGCCCGTGTGAAACAGTGAGCATTGCTATGTTCTTCTTGATGGTCAGGGCATTTTCTACAGAGAACAGCTGCGGATCTTTTCTTCTTGTTGCTTCATGATTGACTGTCCTCTCAATGATTGAAGTAAACATGTCTGCTCAGTGTTGTCATGTTGCGGTCACTTTACATTTTACTGCTCTAATTTCTGCTTTGTTGCTTTTATCATTAGCTCCTCACTCGATTGCTTGGTGAACATAGCATTGAATGTAGATGTTATTTTACCTCCATTTAACACTCCCCTCTCTCCTTCCTCCCCCTGTCAGTTCTGGCAACCAGACCGAAAATGCAGAAAAATATAAACTGCTTTTGTCAAAATGTTTGTTTGCAAAAAAGTTTTCATCTTATAGGGCAGCCCGCCCTCCACAGGATCTGAAATCAGTTGGGTATTGCTTTCATGTGTGTCCCCTGATAGTTCTATCCTTTTGTATCTCAGGCTCAATGAATATTCAGGCTTTTTCCTTCAGGGCTTGTGTACAATAAAAGAGTCAACGTCACAAAAGTTTCTCTACAGACCTCACCCCCCATCTCCTTCACTTTCTTTTAGAGTGCTTAGTTAAAATGAACATAATTATCATGTGTTTACTGTACAGCTTATGAATTAGAAATGCAAAAGCTATTTTGTTTTGAGTAAAATTTTGATGTAACTCAATTTGACAGTGAATAATAATTTAAAAGTCACCTTCTCAGCTCTGCTCATTCAGCTGACATAAATGTTTTTCTTTTCTTAATTATAGGTCAACCAGATCCAGAAGACAGTTATTGACCCTCTAAAAAAGTAAGTAATTAAAGTGAGAATCCATTGGATTTGTGTATTTTCATCACATATGTTTGATTTGGTGCTCTTCATGAGCAGCACAGCTCAAACAAGAGTTCAATTCTATTGACTTTATGGCAGAAAAGTATGTGAGTTGGTGAAAACATGTAGGAGGTCAGCAAGACAGTAGTTAGGTGTGCAGTTTGAGTGTGCTGTGTTGAGATTATTGAGATTCTTCTTTGCTTTTAAGCAAAGAAGAATGAAGGTCAGCCAGAGCAAAAACGTTGAAAATGAGAGTGAGGTGACAATGAAGATGCTGAAAATGTAACTGAATGGGAACTGAATTATTGGGATAAGCATTGAGCAGATCAGGGGGACTGTTAAGTTTCGACAGTAGATTCAGTTAGCGAGAGAAGGTTTACATGGTGTGGATACGGGGTGAGGAAAGAAAGTGGATATATGTGACAATGGACAGAACAATAAAAAAATGAACAGGCAAGTTAACATTTTTTTCATGCACTTTTGGCAATTTGGAAACTATTCTTGCTAAATAAAAGACAGCTGTACAACAGTCCCTCGTCACTGTTGAAAACTCATTATCAGACAGACCTAGACTGCAGACAGACCATTGAAGCACACACACTAAAAATCCTATAATACCAAACCTTGCTCATTTGTGCAGAATGAAGCCTGCAATAAAAAAAGTCAATGGAGTTTCTGGAAGAAATGTCGAGTGTACTGAAAATTTCAATGCAGGACTTTGCACAAGGCCTTGGCAACTTTTACATAAATGCAGAATCTCACTGTCATGGATACTGATGTAGCCTCCACCCACTGCAAATGCTACTTTTCAGAACTTTGGTTGATTGCAATCAGAACCTTAAAAATGATAACCTCTATGTACAGTACATTTAATGCCATTTTATTATCTGGAACGTAATTTTCTCTCTGCCTGAATACACATACATAAAACCATGGGATGTTGACCAGCACTGACTTGGGACTGGAGTTATTAGCTGCCTCAACAAATAAAAGCATTACAGTGTGGACCTAAGACTGCTACTCAGCTGACATGAATCCAAACCACAAAGAACTGACACCCAGATAAATGGAGAAAGACACATTTCTTTTAGCTTTTCAATCATAAGTAAGAAATACACTACTTGTAAAAAATTGTTGATTTTTTACATTCTGATTAATTGCAGAGAATTGTGTGATTAATATCACTTAAAAGATTAATTTGTTGCCATCACTTAAAAAAATACTAATATTTTTGGAATGTTATTGTTTGTACCTGGATGATCAGAAAGGTGAGGTTTTTCATATCTAGATTTTCTAAGTAATGGGTTGCCAATACAAATATAATAAAAAATTTAAATATAATTAAAATCACTATGGTGTGTCGTAGTGACCACATACTGTAATAATTGAATCATATTGTGCCATAACATATATTGAACATATAAAACATGTTCAGTTTATATACAGAAATATATAGTTATGGTTTTCTACACAGGTAGGTAATTTTAGTAACTCCCAAGCCAAAAGAAAGTGTAGCCCCCCTGCCATAAATCAATGTGTGTGTGTGTCGCATAGTTCTCTGCTTTTCAGTAGTATGGTGGGAACACTAGTACATTAGAACAGAAAGACCAGAAGTGTTGTAATAAAGATGTGTAAAAATGACGTTAGTGCTGCTGTGGCTCTGTGTCTGGAAGAAAGTTTATTTCATTCTCATTCCTAATACTCGCCCCCATCTGAGCAGGCAATGAGCATTATTCCATTCCTTGGTCTCACTTTTTTTTCACACAGACACACGCACACCACATGCACAGAGGTACTAGAGGGAGTGGCTGGACAATCCCACCAGTCTTCCGGAGAACTTGTTAAGGTTCTTGCTTCCTTCTCCTGGCTCCTCCCAGGTGGTTTGACATGTGCTTTGTGAATGAGCACTTACATATGTTTCTATTGTAAGCTTGTCTTCGGCCCTTTGCTCCAGAAACTTGTCACATTGTTTATAACCAACTTATCAGCAGATAAAGAGTAAAACGTGAAAAACTTTGGGTCAGTGTCTGTTCGTGTGTGTGTGCCTGTGTCTATGTTGAGCCCTCTCTTCCTTATGTGTGCTGGTGGCAGAGCAATGACAGGATGGAATGGTTCTAATTTCCTCTTCCTGGTGGGCGGCAGGCGGACGTGTGGGCAGGCTTAAAATATGGCAGAGGGCCCAGAGGATGGTTTGAGGAGGAAAACTGTCTCAGGACAGTGCACACTCTTACACAAACATGCAAACACACTAATGTGGTGTTTTTGCAGATTTTGGAAGGTGCATAGTCTCACAGGGCCATGTTTTTTTTAAATCAGAAAAGTCAGACATTTGTGTGATTCTAAAACTGGAGAGGAAAACAGTTATTAACTTTTTCTCCACCAGACATCACAGCACTATTAGTTACTCTATTATTTTACCCATGTGTTTTCTATAGAGGCTGTGACACAAAAGCTACAGAAGTTAAAAGCCTGCATTAAGATTCCATTAGTCCTTCACTAATGAATATTTGTCTTTACTTTGTCTCTGAACACTTAGTGATCTTGTGCCATAGTAAAAAAGAATAAAGAAGGCAAATTAATGTTAATGGACGCCCAGTGTGAATGTGTTTTTTGGTATGTTTTCATGTGTGATTGTGGTTTAATTGTTTGGCATCCATCCTTAGTACTTAGAGTAGGGAAATGTACAGAAAGTTGAGACAAAAAGATGAAAAGTGGCAGCCCCCGTCCTTTCTTTTTTTTCTGATTTCATCTCACTCTCCTTTTAGGCCTAGACTTTTATTTCTTCCTCTCAGCAGGGGTCGCTGAATGATATCACTGTGTTTGTGTTAGTGGGGAGGAGGGGAATGCGTGGGCATGGAAGAATTTGTGTTATCTAGGCCTCCTAACCTAGCCCTTTCTGCTCTGTTGCTCTTTTGGGTGAGACAGAAGCCAAGCCTGTTTTGAGACCTCTGTCTCGGAAAAATATACCTTCACCCCCTAAATCAGTCAAAGAACAGGTTTTAAAGGCCAGAACTAATAGCTGAGTGTGTCCATGGCTTTGGGACTGGTGCCGTTTTCTGACTGTGGTTGTGAATGGAGTTGATCTAATTTTTATCATAAAGCTTGGAATGGAAATTCTTTTTCCAGCACAGATGTGTACAATGAAGTTATCAATCTTTTTTTTTTATTTCTCTACATCTGGTGTATCAGATATCCAGGTTTCGTGAGTTGTCTGAGTTTTGATCAGGAAAACAAAAGACAGGTTGTGGCAGATCAGACTCCCACTGACGTCTGCTTTGACAAAGGTGTTTCACCAGCGTGGACATCATTCAAGTTCAGCTATCACTTACAGATATGAAACCGTTTGCAAATCCAGTGGATGTAATTTAAAAACCAAAGAAAATCTACTTCAAAAATATGCAACCTATATAATCTGGCCTGAGTAAAGCCTTCATTTAAGAAACTCTTGGACAATCACCTCTCCTTTATTTTTATTGGCCCATTGTGTATTGTGTGACAGTGCGATTGTCCAGAGAGACGGCAAGCCTCCTGGAATGAGGGTGTCTAGACCAGACTCAGGCTTGGCTGTTGGGTCAGACTGGCCTGTCTGTGGATTGGCAACTGCTTATAAACACAATTTCTGGTCCAGATGCTATTTCCATCCAGCCTCTTTACCACACCCTGACCTGTCACATGTACAGTGGTGTGCCCTTGGCCCCTGTGTAGCCTTTAAACACCACAACATTTCATTCAGCCAAAGTTGACTGGCAGTGGTTCAGCTGGGGACAGGACAGGAATACTAATATCTGGACACATTTTTTGCCCAAACTATTACTCAAAACGATATAGTCACCTTGTGTTCATTTTTCTTTTTACAAAATAAAAAAATGAAAAGTAGAGATTTTGTAACATTATTGCCTGTTTATACAGATTTTTTATGGTTACTGTTTTGCATTGTTGGGATTTTTACATTTTTACATCATTGTTCTATAAAAGAGAGAATATGGGCAAATATGGAGCACGGAAAAGAATGGGTTAATGGGCAAGTGTCTTAATGTCTTACTGTGAGTAAGACTCTGCTGTGCCACTTTAGTGACACACACCATCAAACCATGTCATGGGCAAACTGCATCATCTTAGACAGGTGTAGTACAAAGGTGGAATAGTGATTTGCTTTGGTGTCCTCCTAATGTTGGTATGTTGCTACATCGTCATCAGCCAGTAGTTTACCAGAGAGCGTTTATGTCTGGAGGGCAGTTGCATAATCCCTTGGCACTTGAAGTATGTGTGTGTACACTGGAACAGATAGTAGACTTGTGGACCAGCTTCCACGCCTCCACGCCATAAATCCGGGCTGGAGGTTTTTTTTTTTTATATTATTATAAATAGTGGTGGAGCGTGGGCTATGGGGCTGGGCTGGGCTGGGCTGGGCTGGGCTGAGCTCTGTGATGTCACTCACATGATCTGAAACCACTCCTTGCTCCACTTCCTGTCGGAAACAATCCCTGCTTGTCTCAAGACTGTGCATGGCTTCACGTCACTTAATCCTCCCCTCCTTATTTTCACTCTCTAGTAAAATCCAAAGGCTAACAAAGCTGTAATTCCCCAACATGTTGTTAGTGTTTCCTCCTTTTGTTAAACAGCAACGTGATAGTTTACATTAAGAGTAGCATAAATAAAAAAGGACAGTAAAATCAAGATGTTTTATTTTTATTATATTCGGGTCATACATTAAGAAACCAAAGACTATAAAAAGACAATGAGCAATTGATACACATGAAAAAAAAAGAAGAATCGGTTCAAATACAGCAAATAGCAGCTTAACATTGTTGTAGCAATAATACCAGAGTTGGAGTCATGCACAATAAGCTACAGCATTTGTGCTCCTCCACACTTGATAAAAAGGCTTCAAATGAGTCATTCTGTTAAAAAAAAAGTTGTCTCCCTCCTCATTACAACAGTTTTTATTACCGACGCTCCTGTTGCAGACACCTGTGTGAATCATCCTGTGTCCTGCAGTTTGAAGAACCACTGTCACTGTTTTTGTGTTTACAAATACAAAACAAATAAGCGCTTAGTGTTCCTTCAGTTTCACTGTTAATTGTTTAATGACTGCCGCTCACTGATTACCGCCACTTTCATTTCCCTCGACATATACAGTCTTCCCTGGGTTTGTTTGTTAGAAACATAATTAAAAATACAGGACTGGTTTTGTTGTAACTGGTAGTTGATCCACAGTGGAGAGCATGTTTAGAATCTATGTTTATTAATTCCCTTAAAGTATTAACACAGATCTTTTCTCTTCCACAGATAAACCTGAACATAGCATTTCTGAATATTGTAATTTCAATTGTGAAATTGTCATATAATTTAATGCAGAAAAAAAGATAATCAGCCTCACGCGTGTATTGATCTATACGACCAACCAGTATCCATCCATCCATAACTAACACGGGGGTTGCTGGAACCATTTCCAGCTGTCATTGGGCCAATTTCAGTTACTCCCTGGCAAGTCCATCACAGAGCCACATATGGACAGGAACAACAATTCATACTCAATTTCACACAAATGGTCATTTTCAAGTATCTAGTCAACCTAAAAGTTTTTGGAGGAAACCCTAAAAACCCACACACATAATACGCAAACTCAATACAGCAGAGGTAGAATAAGTATTAAAATATTCCACTGAAGTAAAAGCGCTGTTATGCAGATGAAATTTTAAGTACAAGTAAAATATCCAGTCTAAAATGTACTCCAGTAAAAGTAAGAAGATGATCATTTAAAATGTATTTATATTAAAAGTTTCTTAGTTAATTACTTACAGTGGGTGTTGAGGGGCTATCTTGTGTAGTGCAAAAAAGATAAAGTACATTAATAAATATATATATACAATATATACAAATAAATGCTATAACAATTGACAACCAGAATCATGCATTTAAAAGAATGGCTGAGCAGAGTTGCATTGGAAGAGTGAAAGTAGTGAGTAGTTAGTGCCTTACAGGAAGAAGGTCATTGGTTTGATCTGAGTTTTTTATATATTTGGTTTGCATGTTCTCCCTGTGGGTTTTCTCTGGGTGAAACACAAGCAGACAAAACTGTTTGGCCCAATGGCAGCTGGGACTGGTTCCAGCTGCCAATGAAAATAATTAAGCAGAAGATAATGAATAAATGAATGTACATGTAAAGAATTATAATACATAATTTTTCATGTATTTTATATTTTGATTTCCATTATCTATCAAGTCACCCTGTTCTCAGTCAACGGGTTTTAAAAGAAAAAAAAGACTGATTTTATAGAATCAAAAACTTTGATTAAACCAGGAAGTGTATTGACAATGTGTAAAACTGAGTNNNTCCTGCTGATTTTTTGCTGTGTTTTCTTTAACTAATCAAAACACTTAAAACAAACGATGTTTAACATTAACTACACTTATTCAGTATACATTTGAGGATACCTTTGTCTTTTACTTTTCATCCAAGCAGTCATCTAATTGCAGTTGTTCGAATTGATTATTTTTTTCTTCATTAAATATTGTTAGAGAGTATATTTACTGTATTACATTCTTTATTCTCCATTAAAAGCAGCCACAAAATGGATTCAACAAGTCCCAGGATAAAGCTCAGACTCCTGTTGCTAAGTTACAGATGAGGGTTATTTTCCCCCTATTTTTAGTGCTTGAAGACCAGGATCTGCAATGCAAGAATACATATTCATTTTGAAGATGATAACTGTCATAAAATGAATTGTTTCATGCCATTTTGAACCATAGTAATTAGATAATAGATTAGAGGGAGCTTAACACAGTGCTGTCCTCTGGAGTTTGAGAGTAGTGTTACAGTAAGGCATTGAAGAAAAGGCTTTTATTCTTTTATGACTTATATTCAGATGGATGCAGACATTATGCAGCAGTTTTGTTTTTGTTTTGTTTTTAACTTTTGCTTTCCATCTTTGAAATAATTTGTACATACAGGTTTTTTGCATGCAAAAACATTTGCACACCTTAAGCATGTGCTGGAGCAAGTAGGTTAAAGGTCTTGTGTGTTTGTCCTACAGGTACAGTGGTGTCTTCCCCAGCCTCAACATGTCAGTGAAACGTCGGGAGCAGGCACTGCAGGACTACAAGCGACTCCAGGCGAAAGTGGAGAAGTATGAAGAGAAAGAGAAAACAGGCCCTGTGATGGTCAAACTGCACCAGGTAATCTTTGATATAAAGATACTTTTGTTGCATGTGTGGATCTACTAATATGCTCCCCCTATCTGCAGAGGGGCAAAGTTCACCTGCTCTTACATGGTGTACGTCCTGTGAATTGCACAGAATAAGTGGTGGGGGGTGGGGGGAGGGGGCAAATGCTGACTGGATATGAGCAAAAATAGTAGAGCACATGCATACTGTACATGTACGCTCCTTCACCCACGCAAGCTACCGGGCTCTCAAGTAGTTGCCTTTTTCAAAAAAGGCAGCGCTGCACATCTACAGGCACGTAATTGAGAATTGTAAACACACGTATGCACACACACACATACAATGCAAGGCTAACGCATATGAACACACATTCACAGATAGTTGTTGCAGTGTGGCAGTCTACACTATTGCCTCTAACACATCCTCACACGTTGAAGCCACCCACACACATGGAGAAAAGCACTGTCAGGGGAACAAAGCCTTAAAGAGGCCCCTCCATCTCTGCCCTTTGATACTGTGTGCACTTAAAGGAATGATCCCTACAAAACACTTGGATGCCATTTTAACAAGTGCATAAAGAAGAAAAGCTCAGGTAAAAGACATAGCACCATTATGCAGCAGATAAACAATATGTTCCAGTTTGAGCCCTCCCTCTCCTTTCATAATAAAAACATTTTTTATTCTCTTTCACTCTCTTACAGATTCATTGTGTATTCCATAGCTCCATGCTTACTGTAGACTACCCACTAATACACACACACACACACACACACACACACACACACGGATCAGTGGTGCTGGAGTCCACTCACAGCCAAGTATGCCCACAGTACCCACTCCTCCTCACTCTGGTCATGATTATTGCCTTTTTTTGTTGTTTGCACTCCTTCTCCGTGGGAATTAGGCAACCAGAACCTTTCCAAACAATAAGAAAAGAACACTTGTGATGCCTCATGTGACAAAGTTTTCTCTTTGCACATTTATTCTCCTGCACCCTTTGAATCCCTCCACCTTTGTGTGTTACAGTATTACATCCAGTCATTTATTGTAGATTTTTTTTTTCAATGGCCTTTGCTGATCTGTAGAAATCATAGCAGCCTGTGGCTGATGATGCCAACTATCTCTGTCCAAAATGTTAACATGTTTTGGCCATAAAATCAGATATCAGAACCAAAGATTAAAAAGTACTTAATTAAGTAAAGTGTTGAGCTCTGTGCCTAAAGTATATGCAGTCCAATAGGCCAGCTGTGTCTGCAGTAAATCCTTTACTCTAGGCTCATTCTTTCATGGAAATGTTTAGATATTTAAATATGTTATATTAAAGTATAAATGTGTTGTGTTTTAGCCCATACTGGTGGTGTTTGTGATGTTCCCTTTTTATTGTATTTTTTTACCTAACTGATACAATCACATTTTGTCAAACAATGTGTACTAACTTTTATGGAGTTTGGTTTGTAAGCACCATAACACTCAAACACCCTCAAACTGAAAAAAGTAATTTGTTTTAATTATGGAAAACTTGTTAAACAAAGTGGTCTTTTTTTTTTTTACTGTTGCTTTTGCTAACCAACATGAGTCAAAGCGTGAGTCTGTGATGATCTGTGTGTTCATGTCCATCATGACTTCTAGTCTGTTGAACTTATGTTCCTATTTTTTTTCCACGTCTCAGGCCAGAGAAGAGCTGCGACCTGTGAGGGAGGACTTTGAGTCAAAAAACAAGCAGCTTCTGGACGAGATGCCCAAGTTCTACCACAGCCGCATCGATTACTTCCAGCCCAGCTTCGAGGCCCTCATCCGTGCACAGGTTAGTGGTTAGTTCCAAGCACAAACCCAACCCCAGGCTCATCTAAAAAGTGGACACAGTGTCTGTTGAAAGTCAGTGTTAATGCTGTCAGTGTGTCTCCATCCATACCGTCCCAATGTGATTAACCCCAATGACGGCCCACACTCCTGTCTGTAGCCCAGAAGGGCCTCATCTGTGTGGCACCGCTGCAGCCCTGCAGGCCTTCGTCTTAGCTAAAGGCAGCTGGGTGTCTCACGTTAGCGCCACCGTGCCCCCTCCACTCCTCCAATCCCCGCCTTACTTCTGCCTGCTCCTGTCATTTCCTCCTCGGACAGCCACTGGCACTCGCCTAATTAGTGAAACCCAATTAGTCCAGACAATGATGGTCTTTTATGATGTTCTTTGAACTTTAAATTGACAAAACAAGCAATCGATAATGACCAGGATGAAATACATCTATAAATCAAACCACATCTCTCTTTTCCTCATGGGTTTAGCTTTGAATCACAATAATATATAATATTGTTGTTTACGCTGCTTGAAATATTTTATTGTACCAACGTTATCAGTGGTTTGGCCCCAGGTTCCTACAGTCTTCATGTCAGAAGAGCAAAAGACTAAACTCCAAATTGACCTGATGGTGTATATGTGTGTGCTGTGCGTGTGTGCACGGTTTTGTTTGTGTGTGTCTCTTTGCCAACAACTGCTGTATATTGGTTAGTTTATTTCATGTCCAACCCAGAGGTGCCCACACTTTAACATAGGAGTTATTTTTAATTTGACCTAGCCAAAATGATCTACATACATAGGTTTAATATATAATTACACAGAATGTACTTTATGTATAAATTGTATGTTGGGGTACCTGCTGACATGTGAAGATGGCAGTTTACCTGTGGCATAGTGAAAGAGCCTGGTTAAACCAAGATTAAAAACAGGGCCGTGTGCAGTTTTGATCGTCTCCATTCTGATCATTGGTAGATTGAAAAATCATTGTTTTTTCTGCTTTCAACAATAATTTAAGTTTTGTAATTGGCTGCAGAGAACCTGCATCCAATTATGAAACCAGGAAAAATTAAAAAAAAAAAAAAAAAAAAGTTGTCTTTTTGAGAACATGAATTTGATGACACAACTACATCCTCAGTCATTTAACGTTTCCACACACAAGCAGGGCCACACGTGGGTGGTCAGTGGTCCGGTGGACCTCATCCCCAGCTTTGCTGCGGTTTCATCCTCCACTCCCTTCTTTCCCAGCTGCTCACTGCTGCTGCTCAGCTCCCAGTGGCAGCAGGAAAAAGGCACAAAGGCTGTCTTTGTCTGCGAGGCTTCGTCTTCACTGCCACAAGTTCTGTCCCACAACTGTCGGTGGGAAAGTCTGGCCTGTCCACCTGTACAGCTGTTGATCAATTGTAATATTGTCTGTCGCCTCCCCCACCCCCATTCTTATCCTTTTTTGCTGCATGTGTTCATTTTAGAAAACAACCAGAGAACTTTCTTTGTCTCTTTTTCCTCTGGATTTTCTTTGTCTCCTGAAACAATGCTTAGGCGGTGTTTAGTGACAGAGTGGATACATAGGGATCTCAATCATTCACATCATTTTCATAGCTCTCTGTATAAATATTAAGCAGCTGGGACTATGGTATGTTGAGGTGCTTTGAAACAAGTCATGTAGATTAGAGGTTTGCTTCACCCAAAGACTCCTCTTTGTCTTGTAGGTGGCCACAGTCGTGGTCCAGGCTGTGGTTATTCCCTGTGGTGACTCGACTTAATTGCAGCAGCAGCGTCTTTGCTCCTGCAGAAGTCACCCAGACATTAATCTGGTGCACATTATCATCACTGGTCATGTGGCCTTTTTTCCGATTGGTGCTGTCAACAAGCCACTTTTGGTTAACAAAAAAAAAAAAAAAAAAAAAGTACATATATATCCGGTTTTACCCCCACAAACAGCAGTAACCCAATACTTACAGCCCACACATGTGGTTAAGGTGGCAAATATTGGGATAAACACACTAAAGTATTTCAGATTGGGTCCTCAAAAGGTAAAACTTTTATCCCACCAGCTGATTTTAAAATCAGCAGGGTATATGTTTAGACATTTTTATATTGTGAGATTTTATTTTCTTGAAAAATCCTTTTCAGCTGTCATTTCTCTCATTAGTCAATTTTCTTGATTTGTTTTTTTTTTTTTTTTTGGCACATCATAAAACAATGTGTGTGTGTGTGTGTGTATGTTTGTTCCAAAGGGTTCAATGTCCCACTACTTTGATTCTGTGCCTGCTCCCTGCAACTCCTGTAATGTGATTAAGGCCTATTAATCATCAAAGCATCTCTCCAGGGAGTCTGACTCTTGAACTCAAGAGAAGAAACAGTGAATGTGGAAAAAGAAAGTCAGTCAGTCTCTCAGAGCTCTGACTAGAGAGTAGTGAAGAGTCAGTCTACCTGCTGCAGGTGGTCTGGTACATTTCATATCTCTGTATCTTTGTATATCTTTGTCTCCTCCCGCCCTTCCATCAGTTGTCATTAGTGAGGTTGAGTTTTTAGACCAGCAGATACAAAGAAACAATTGAGTGATGCTCGTTGAAAAGTTTTAAGAGTTTTAAACTAACAAATTGGCACTAACTGCTGTCAAAGAAATTACAGAGATGAAGACGTATGTTTGGAGAATACTTGTGTAAACCAAACAGCTAAACAGTTTCTTTTTTTTCACCATCATAATTCTCTCCACCCCCCACCCCCCCCAACCTCTCTTCCTACCCTTTAGGTTGTCTATTTCACCGAAATGTACAAGATCTTCAGTGAGTTAACAGAGCAAATAGACCAGGCGGGGCTGACTGATGAGCAGAGGGAGAGGGATACGGAGGCCAAGCTCAGCGAGCTGCGAGCTCTGTCCATCGTGGCTGACGATTGAAGGATCATGATGGAACATCATGCACCAGATTGTTTTTTTTTATTTTAGGCTGTTTCGTATGTTTAAATGGACAACAGTGGCCTTAAATTGATAATTTTGCTTTCTCGCCACCTCATCTCCTTCCTGTGTTTGATTCACTCCACAAAGACAAAGAAGAGTAGCTGAAATGCCTCATTTTGAAATAACTTTTTTTTTTGTCAGGAAATCAAACTTCTGTTTGAGCTTTGTAACTAGATCACGTCAATTTGAGAAACGAGACAAGGTTTGTTTGTTAAAATGAGACACTCAATTTCTAAATTTAGATTGAATTTCTGTGATCTGACCGTTAATCTTTAGTTACTGTCAAACTGGTCAAACTGGACATTGTTCCTAAACTTAACATGAAAGTTAAAAAAAATATGTTTACGAAGTGCTGCACCAATGTGCAGCAGCAGCATTGGTGAAAGGTCGACCTGTCACATTAGCTGAGTCCAATCACTGTCAAATAAGCAGGCTGGTGCGTCCTCTGGTGGGGAATATTGATAATGACATTTCTGATTTCTTTGTTCTATTGCGGGAATTCGGCAGTCCCATTTCTTTGTTTGTTTGTTTTTTTTTTAATCTGGGATCACATAATGTGTCAAACCCATGTATTGTTACTCAGAAACATCGTTGTTAATGCAGCCATAAAGTAGGTGTTACACAGAAGTGAGGTTTTGTGTCAGAAGATTTAATTTATTCTTAAACTGTGTTGTTTTAACTTTTAGTCATTTTTATTTAATTTTGTTGATTTGGATCAAACATGCAATTGTCAATAATGTTTTTCTAGTTTTTAAATTTGTGTAGCTGAAGGATTTTCTGTCTTTGCGTTACATTTGTAAACACTAACTCTTATGTGTAGGGTTTTTTTATTTAAGAACATTCGATACTACTTTCTAGTGTCATGTCAATGTTAAACCAATCAGGAAATAAAGTACCATAGATAAGAAAACCTCTTGTTCACACTTCCTCCAAATGCGTCTGTTCTTTTGCCATATTACATTTTGGTGGAATCCTGGGCATTTAAATACAATTCTACAAAATCTTTTATTAGCTACGTAGACAAAAATGGGAGAAAAAAAATGTAATTTAGACGAAAAGTAAGGAGAGTTTGCTCCACATCTTTCACTAAAGTAGGGTATTGTTTCTGTATGACACTCATGAAGATATTTAAAAGTAGACACTCACAATCCATGTACACCAGTTTATTCAGTTACTCTATATTGCATTTCACTTTTTAGCCATGTCACATCCATGGATGTCAATATAACAAGTATTTACAGAACGACCATTAATTGTACAAGTACACAGCTCAATGCAGGTACCTAGTCTCCAAAATGCACAGGTATGAATCTAAGATTCCCCCCCCCCCAAAAAAAAAAAAAAACCCAACCATCTTTATAATTTATACTACAGTTATTGCAATATCTACATCTCCAAAATACAACATCCCTTTAAAATATCTTGTTGGGGAAAAGCCTTGGAAGAAATATAACTTGATTTTGCGGTTTCTCCTGAACCACTTGATTCTTCTCTGGAAAATAATCTGTGACCAAATCTAAGCACCATCAGTTAAAGGAGTATGTTTTTGAGTCCAACATAAATCAAGTTCTTTATAGAAAAAATGTTATTGCAGATGTGCTACAACATGAGCAACAACCACAATACAGAGGTCTCAATCCTCAAGAAATTTAGAAATAGAAAGTCTTAGCTCTTTTTGTTGGCCTTACAACATACAGTATTTGGTGCCCTTCAATTCCAGTGCTACAGTGCCCCCCACCTCAGTCCCCTTAGTGAAAGGAAAAAGGAAAAAAAAAGTCAATTAGTCGTAAATACTTTATACTAACTTTTTAGAGTAATTCAAGTTAAACATGTGTGACACCGAGTTACAAGTGAATTACACACCTTTGTGAAGCCGCACACTCCAAACCCAAACATCACATTGTGTTTACACCGTTAAAAGATTAAGACTTAACTTTTTTGCTGGGTCTACTAAACACCCGTCTTGTTGTACATGGTCGTAATTTGTTCCTCAAAGAATTTGCGGATCTCTACACGTCGGCTTTTCAGGGTGGGTGTCAGGAGGCCGTTGGCTATGGTGAACGTTTCTGGATGTAAGTGAATGTCCTTCACCTGATAAGAGGTAGGAAGAAGAAAATAAAAATGACACAATGGAAAATAAAGCCATGGTGGTTGGTTCAAAGCTTCCAGACATCTGCACAGGTTGCTCACTTGTTCAAAGGACTTGAGCCCTGCTTCTTTGCCCACGGCTCTCATGTCTTCTAATACAGCACTCTTTACGTCCTGTGGGAGGACAGGTTAAGAATGTTCAAATCCACAGTGTTCAATGTTATCAAAGGCTGGTTTGAAACACCACTTGGGATTTGACCTACGGGATTCTGGCACAGTTCCTCGTAGGACCCCACTAATCCTCTCTTCTTAGCCCAGGAAACAAACACCTCAACGTCTGGCACAACAATGCCTATAAGGAATGACTGGTGACAGGACAGAGCAAAGAAAATGTTATATTTAACTATTGCATTGAGCTAGTACCACATGAACAGGTAATGAAGTAGTACCTGTAAGCTGTCTCCGTGCACAAACACCTGCAGCACAGGGACGCAGCGCATGTAGACATTTTCGATCTTCTCTGGAGCGATGTACTCTCCCTGGGACAACTTGAAGATGTGCTTCTTTCTGTCAATGATGCGCAGTGTCCCGTTCTGTTGGAAGAGAAATTGACGTGTAACAAGTTGTGAGTAAAGTGGATATGCAACTAAAAAAAATCTGATTTAAATGAATTTCTTTGTCCAGAGTTTAGTTGTTATTTGTATTATTTAAGTAGGTTTTGCCACTCTGATTTTAAAATCAGGGCAAACACAATGTTGTTGGTTTTTTTTTACCAACTTTAATAGAAAAACTGTTAAAATAAAAAAAGAAAATAGTGAAAGAGCATGACACCAATTGGATATTATAAAGAAGATAAGGCAAAGAATGAAATCTCGGATGGAAACATTACACCATGAGTGTCAAGACTATAATGGAGGATATGAAGGGAAATGCATATATTAATTTATTTTCCTAAATGCCACTGTGTAGCAGTGTTCCTGATGCCTTGCCTTTTCAGACCTAACCTACCGGAAGCCACTGGCCCACGTCACCGCTGTGCAGCCATCCGTCAGTGTCCAAGGCCTCAGCTGTCCTTTCTGGGTCCCTCAGGTAGCCTCTGAACACGCTCGGCCCACGGATGCAGATCTAAGACATAATTTGAGGCATGAGAAGATTCAGCACCAGACAACTGTCTGTTACTCATTTTAAAAGTAGTGTTTTTGACTCACCTCTCCTTCTCCATTCTTGGCGTAGTAGTTCATATCAGGTATGTCAACCAGCTTCACCATGGCACAAGGTAAAGGAGAACCAACATGACCTGAATACAGACACATCACAAATCTATTTGTACAGCTCTATTTGACATGTGAGAAAAAAAATGAACAGTATGAAGTCTTTGATCATCAATTTGGACACATACAGATGAGAAAAAGAATACTTTCACTATTTTATGATTCAAATGTGTGTCTGTAGTGAGAGGATGGAACCTGTGCGAACACTGAAGGTCAAACGTAAAGGTCAGTCATCTGGAATGTCCTACCTGCAATCCAGTCTCCAGGCAGAGAGAATGTGCAGCCAGCAGTGCACTCTGTCTGTCCGTAGCCCTCAAATATCAGGCAGCCCATGGTAGCTCTGAGGAAGGACAGCACTGTAGGACTGATGGGCGCTGAGGCAGTCAGGACGAAGCGGAGATTACCTCCCAGCATGGCCTGGAACACAAGAGTGCAGGCAGTTTTTATTAAAAATAGAGACAGTGACTTTTTAGCTCATGTGTGAAATGCTTCAGAGTGACTTTTGACTGGAGGATTGTAAGACTGGTTGACTGTGTGAAATTCAAGGCTACTGCAACAATCACCTGTCAGCTTCTATCAAGACAATTTCTAGATGAGTTGATAAACTGTGACCATGTTTGGTGTGTGTGACAGTAAAAAAAAGCATGGGGGGGGCATAATTTAATATAACTTAATATAATTTAAGCCATCATTGACTTCAATTGATGTATTACATTGCATCATATTATGGCGTAGGACATAGGAACAGGAAGAAGTGAACTGAGAAAGTCAGGTTATTAGTGAACATATGGCTTCCATACTGCGTTCTCTCTGTAATAATTGATAAGCCACATGTTTTAATACGGCACATTTGAGTACTTTCACACACGGTTTTTGAAGTTATAAGAGGCACTTTGTGCTACCTTAGAGTATGATAAGTGCTAAAATTTCATTTGGTTTCAGTGATGATGCTCATAAGGAATGAAAATTAGGACAACTGACCTGAATCTTCCTGAACACCAGTTTGTCCCACAAGCTGTTGTTGCGTACGATGCCACTCCTGAGCTCTGCCTGCTTCCTCCTCACCGCGTAGTGAAGCAGCGCCCGTTTAAACGGAGAGGACACGGAACCCAGGATCTTAATACAAGGAACAGGAAACAGGTTTAGTTAAATACCGTTTCTCACAGATTGCGGCCTGGACGTGTCTTGTACGTCTGACGACCTTGTCGTAGATTCTGTTGAGTAATCGAGGCACCACTGGAAAGAAGGTGGGTTTGAGAGTTTTGATGTCGTCCATCAACAGCGTGATATCCCCCTGGTAGAATCCCACTCTGGCCCCATGGCAGAACATTGAAACCTGCCAGCCATAAACAACATTTAGAGCCAAAGTACAAGTGCGCTCAAAGATAAAAATCACCTGGGAAGAGGATCAATTACCTGAATCATCCTCTCAAACATGTGGGCAAGTGGCAGGTACGAGATCGACACGTCCTCCCGCTTGATCACAAACGAACCCTGGGAGGAAACAAGGAATAAAATGAGCAAAGCACCAGGGAGAGATTAAGTCTGATCAGCGGCAGCGGCAGAAGCATAAGGTGAAGCCTCACAGGCAATCAAACACCCTCCTGTGGCTTCTCCACCGGCAGTTAGGCAGGAGAATCTTTGTATTGGGGCAATTAGTTAAAGTACCTGGGACGATGGGGACAATCAAACAGCCAATTAATCATACCATTAGACACAGCAGGGAGAGGGACAGCTTAGACATACAGAGACGGGAGCAGATGGGGAGAAGTGTGGAAGCTGTTCTCAATTAGACAAGGAGGTGGAAGTGCAGACAGACCTCCAGGATCTTAATGACAGAGGAAGTGTTGGAGGCGATGTTTCCGTGGGTGATCATGGCTCCCTTGGGCTTCCCTGGATAAATAAACAAGACATTATGGCAGTGCTGAGTGCAGCATAGGAAACAGCAGTGGTGCTCTACAGAGAGGTCATTAGTGGACACTGAAGGACAGTGGTCTAAGGATGTGAGCAAGGGGTAATTAGGGAGAGACTGGTGAGATCAGACGATACCTGTGGTTCCACTGGTGAAGCAAACCACGGCCAGATCCTGGGGTTGGGGCGGCTACAGCAGCAGGCAGCAATAAAATATGGGAAGAAGAGGGGGAAAAAAAATATGACAAAGTGCTTCCTCCTCTACTATCAGTTTACAAGTGAGTGTTAATTACACCATATGGGACAGGGGCAACAATAAAACTGTCAAGTCAGCATTTAGTGGGGCAGCTGGATATTTACAGAGAACAGTTTTGATGAGTTGATGCTGCAGAGGATAGATGATAAAACTCACCACAGGATCTCTGAGGTTCCTTCTTCCCAGGTCCTAAGATGTGGACGGACAGTCGGACAGACAGACAGACAGACAGACGGACAAGAGTTATTTAAAGCCGCTGAGAGTTGAAGACAAAAGGAATATGTTTGCTGGTACGTTCAGAAATGTCTGGTAATATATTGCGATCCTGTCAGCATAACCAACACACAACACTGTTACATGCTTAACATCGGGGTTACTAAAATTGGAACACAGGGATTGACAAGGATCGTTAGAGACATAATAAATACAAACAACTGATACAGTACTGTAGATTGTCAATGAAATCAATACACTGAAATATCACAATAATTCAGTGTATCGATATTCTCCTACAACCCTAAAATACATGTGCAAAAACTAAGGAATCCAAGTGAAGATAACCAGTGTTGGATCAACACTATTTTTCATCTCCAATACAGATACTACAACCTGGACTATCTGCAGATTCTTTGTCTGTTTGGACTTTGCGGAACACAGTGTAACAAGCACACTGCTCCATGAAAGAAAGAAAGAAAGAAAAAATGGCCAACAATGTAAGTCAAGTGATGTCACATTACTCTCGTCTTTTAAACCTATATCGTTTCACAGCCTTTTTGTTCCACAGACAAGAACTCAATGAGTCTACACATGTGAAGTATCTGCTCCTCTGTTTACTGCTGTCTCAGCAGCAGATGCCTCTCCGATGACGGCAATTTGTTCAAAGTTAAAAATTTCATTTCTGTGATAGCGTGGCCTTTATGTATGGGATCAACTGAGTTGAAGTTGTTTGTCTGGGTCCAGACTCGTCTTTAGTGCTGTGACAGTACTGTGAGAATGGGTTCTGAGTTTCTGAGAGAAAAGTTAACCAAACTCCATTTGTTAATGTTTTCCTTCATTTCGTCACAAACATGCACACACACACACACACACACACACACACACACGTGAAAAACATTTTGAGCATTTAGCAAAAAAAAAAATTTTTGGAATTTAAAATTAAATTTAAAAAAAGTGAGTAAATACCCAGTATTGTTGTTTAAAGTACTTCAACTGTACTTACTGTCTACATCTACAGCAGTTTCATAGTTTGTATTTTAAAACATTAATTATTCTGTGAAATCGGTCTGGGAGCCATTACAAGTAAACTACATCAAAGATGTTGATCAGCTCCGCCCTGCTCACCGTGAGCTCCTCCAGTTTCAGGACCTCCACCTCACAGGCCTTGGCTCTGTCCACAAAGGCCTCAGAGAAAGTGTTGAACAGAACCAGACAGGAGAGCTTTGGAGTTGCACCGCTCTCCTTGTTCTCCAACAGACACATAGCCTTGTCCTCACGATCACAGATCACCAGAGAGATCTCAGCTGAAGACACACAGAGTATCATTGACAACGAAACGGCTAACTACAGCACAGCAGTCAAGACGGTCACATCTGGAAAATAGATTTTCTGCAATAATATAACTTTTAGCATTACACTCCCGAAGTCAGTTGTCAAGCAGCCTCAATATTTATTAAAATATTTTTTTGAATGTTTTTGATCACATGAGCAGGCAGCAGGTTTATGGAGCAGTCAACATAAACAGCTATAATATGACACTGTACAGTAAATATTTCTATGTGTGATCTGATGGAATTACATCTTAGCCACAGAAACTAGGAAAACACCAGTTTGACCAAACTAAATAGTGACTGACTGCCCAGCTAAACACCACAGACTGAAACCAACAGATGAGATTCATTCATTCATTCATTCATTCATTCATTCGTCTTCTACCTCTGAATCATTTACTGGGTCATCGGAGGGCTACAGCCCACCACCAGCTGTGGTCAGCTGAAGGTAAGGTACAAAGATCACCACTCAATCACAGGACCACTTATAACGACAAACAACCAATCACACTCACACTCAAACCTACGGTTTATTTGGGAGTTTCTAATCTTAGACTGTAGGAGGAAGTCAAGAAGACATGGAGAAAAACAATACACACGTGCACTCTCTCTCTCTCACGCACGCGCGCACGCACACACGGTATACTGCAACAACATCAGTTTCTCTGTTTTACACAGTTTACCTTTAAATTATATGCAGTCATTTAAAAGTACTCAGCTGTACTGCTTAACCACTGAACTCCAATGTACTCATCCTCATCATAGCATTGCTCGGTATTCAATTTTTTTTTAGTTACCCATTTGATTTACAAATGCTTGTTATTAACAATTTCAATAGTTTGGTATTCTGACATTTTGTGTTATCTTTGCTAGTGCCGCTAACTACTTTCTGTTGTGGCCCCAGTGTTCCTCAAACACCATTACATTCCAGTGTATGAACTGATTTATGACAATAATGTTATAAATTTACACACACAAAAAAAAATAATGAGACTAATTCAAATTTCTATGAAGTGAAAACAAACAGGTGACATGTGAAAATGAATAACAGAAATTTTAGGAATTTCTTAACATATTGCCACATAAATCTGTCTTATTCCTGTTTAAATAAATAAAAAAATATATATAAAATATATATATATATATATTTTTTTTTAGATACATTTGTACTATATTGATCCCATATTTGAGAAATATACTGTTAACAAGCTGCCCCCAGCAGGCGCCAAGCATGTGGTTCCTCTGGGAATCAAACCTTGGATTCTCTGCTCTCTGCTTCAGAGGATGGCATGCAACTGCTACACTTCCTTTCTTTGCATTTCTATATTAGTAAATAACCCTCCATATTAACACTGTACACCTGTATCAGTGTTTAAACCTATTTCCAAGTCAGTGTGAATCCCTTTTGCCTTTTCTCTTTATTAGTTTTTATACCCAAATGCCCTTCTGGAAGCAAACCCCTCTGGCATTTAAGATTCTGTAAACTGTTCCTTTAAATGTATTGAATATTTTATGTTAATAAAATAACTATTTTCTCACCTAAGTTGAGGATGTGAACCATGGCCTCCATCCCCAGTGTTTCATACAGAGGAACCAGCGCCATGGAGTAAGTGTAACAGGCCAGTTCAGAGATGATCCACTTTCACCAGCAGAGGGAGACAAAATAGCAGAGTTACCGTCACTTCCTCGCGTCAAATATCTAACATTAACCATTGTTTCATTATAAATCTACAAATGAGATTTTATTTATGTTTTTAATTATTACTATTATTATTTATTCTATTATAGATATTTTTAAAAAAAGAAATAGATATTTGAGCTTAGGTTTGTATATTGTGAAGAAACAATTTTATGACTCCATACCTCTGGTCTGTTCTGTGCAAAAATCCCAACAAACTGTTGTGGGTTGGGTTGGCAGCCTTTAGCCAACAGACCAGAGCCGAGGCCCTGAGCCCACTCAGCCACCTGAGGGAGCAAATGCACCAGAGACAATGGTCGTGGCAAAATTAGACAGAAAAAAAAAATTAAAGGTTAACTATTGTTTTATATTTTTATTTTATTTCATGGTCTGTATGATCATTGTGTCAGACCTCAGTGTAGGAGATCCACTGGTAGGGCTGATCTGGCTTCCTGAAGCCCAGACATGGACTGTCTCCTGGAGGAGACAACACAGCAGAGAAACAATAAGTTAAACTTAAGCAGGATTTTTTTAAACTTTTTTTTAGACTCAAATTGTATATTATCATCCATCCTGGCTACAACCCTAGTAAAATAAATGTTTGTTAGATGCTTGTCAGAATGAGAATCATCATTATGTGGTCCACACTTTCTTCAAAGTGGAATGGAATTGATGTGTGTTATGCTAACAACGCTTAGCCAGTTGGCATAGAGTACTACAGGATGTTCCATATGACACCAAGCTCGTCTGTGTGTGTAATTTTTTCATTGGTGTCTAACTAGTGTGGTGTGCATGTGACAAGCTCAAGGTCGCTCCTCTGAGGTGACTGAATGTTGGCTGATGCTCCCAGTATAAGGAGCAGAACTCCACCAGCTGTTGGGAAGGCTTCCTTGAATCACACGTAACTTTTAGTTTTTGATAAGACTTCAGAGTTCACATCAATAGATTGGAGTTAGGAGATTTGTTAAGTGACAAATTAGAGGACACACTAAACAACTACATCTGAGAAGGGATAACAGAATACATGACTGGTCAAATATCCTGAAGCCACTGAACTTGATTGTGAAAAAACCGAGGATGTTTGTCACTGCAATCGATGTTGTACTGGCAGTGTTGATCTTGCTGCAGCTTGGTCAATCTCTTTGATATTGTTGATAATTAAGATGCCATTTCCTGCAGCTATTTTCCAGTTCCTGATCCATGTTTGCAGTCAGGTTGGTAAATCAGCTCACATTACTTTTTTGCCCGCTTTGAGACGGCCAGGCCCTCAGCTGACACACCACCCCCACCTACCCCAGCACAGACACACTGACACTTCAGGAGCATGAAGTGAGACGTGTGTTAAGGTCAGTGAACCCCAGGAAGGCGGCCGGCCCCGACGGAGTACCAGGCAAGGTACTCAGAGCATGCGCTGACCAGCTGAGCGGAGTCTTCACTAATATCTTCAACCTGTCCCTATCACTGTCCATTGTCCCACCCTGCCTCAAAACCTCCACCATCATCCCCATCCCGAAAAAGTCAGCAGTGGACAGCCCAAACGACTACAGACCTGTTGCACTTACGCCTGTAGTCATGAAGTGCTTTGAGAGACTTGTATGTCAGCACATCAGGACTTTTCTGCCTCCCACTCTGGACCCCCACCAGTTTGCCTACAGACCAAACCGATCCACCGAGGACGCCATCACCATAGCGCTCCACACCGCGCTGAGTCACCTGGAGCACCAGGGAAGCTACGTGAGGATGCTCTTCCTGGACTTCAGCTCAGCATTTAACCACATCATCCCGGAGATCCTGGTCCAGAAACTGTCCCACTTAGGCCTCTCTTTCCCCATCTGCCTGTGGATCAAAGACTTTCTGACCGACCGCCCACAATCTGTCAGACTCGGCCACCACCTGTCCAGTACCATCAAACTAAGCACCGGCTCCCCACAAGGATGTGTCCTGAGCCCCCTCCTGTTTACGCTCTACACATCTGACTGCTCCCCGACCCATCTCTCAAACACCATCCTCAAGTTTGCGGATGACACCACCGTGGTCGGACTCATCTCAGGGGGGGATGAGTCTCACTACAGAGATGAGGTCAACAGACTGACTGTGTGGTGTTCAGTGAACAACCTTCAGCTGAACACAACAAAAACGAAAGAACTCATCCTGGACTTCAGGAAGGGCAGAGAAGACCCGGCCCCTCTCTACATCCACGGTGACTGTGTGGAGAGGATCCACTCCATGAGGTTCCTGGGCGTGCACGTCTCCAACGATCTCTCCTGGTCTGCAAACACCACTGCGGTGGTGAAGAAGGCTCAGGCTAAAGGGAAAGAAGGAGGAAAGGAAGGAAGGAAAGAAGGATTTAGTGGGCACTGGCTAAATGCTAAATTAAACAGCCAGAGCAACAATGTAAGACAAATATAGGAGAATAAATGATGTTCTATAAGTTCAAAAACGTTTTGAATTTAATAATTGTTTAAGTGCAAGTTAAATTCTTAAAGGAGAAAACAATATTTTATATATTTAAACAAATTAGTAAGGTAAGAATTAAAGAACGAATCGGTTTCATTGTGTAGTGTTTAGCACACCTGCCCAATAAGCAGAGAGATGAAAGTTGTGGGTTCGATTCCAGGAGGAACTACAAAAAGGATCGAAGAAAAGAAGGAAGTTGGGAATGACAGAATGAAAAAGGGAAAGAAGGAAGAAAGGGTGTTAAGATATTGTAAATACAGAACATCAAACAGAAAAAGAATCCAAAGTGCATTTCTTTGATCTAACCTGAGTTACTGAGCAGAATAGCTCAGCACATGTACATGTTTTCTATTGGTGGAGAATCTTTGTTTGGAGCAGCCTTTGCCAATCAGCACTCAGAAGTGGTGCGTGAACACCACATGGCTGTAAAGGGTTAAGGTTCTGACCATTGATGTGTGTGTAAAAAACTGTATTTAAGCTTTGAGCACTGAGGAGAACTGACCGTGCTTTGGTTCCCCTTCACCCTTCATATGTCAACAAAGTCACCAACTTCCTCCAACCAGTGCAAATGAATGAAGGCTTTTCTCAAATGGAAATGCATTGGTAAAATGTTAAAAAAAAGTTTGCCCTCAGCTGTAGCCTGACTGCCATCAACCACACCTGATGGCAGTCTCTCATATTCGTTTTGTCCTTTGGTTCCCCTAGTTCTGCACAGGTAGCACAGAAGAAAACCTACATATATTGATACTATTCCAACACTCTGTTGTACATTATCTTTTGGTTCCATAGGCTTCTGAGTCATAGGTTAATGCATATAGTAAGACATTAAACTAAATTAATTGACTTCCATGCCACACAGCAGCATTTACTATGATAGAATTCCTGTGAGAGAATCATTTTAGAAAATATCAATGGTAAAGGATTTCTACTGAGTATTCTCCCTATTTGTATTAAAAGTTATAAAGTATCCAACTACATCATAAAAAATGATGGCAAATTGGGTGATAATTATACTTAATTATTGGATATCGGTGACTTAAGTTTTACAATGTACTCCCCTTCATCTCCTTGTGACTAAACGCCAACCTGAAAATAACTGAAGATAGATGGATGTAATGTAATGTATGTAGTTTTACCCAAGACTGAACGTCAACCACAGTAACCTGACTGACCTGAGATCCGCAGGCCTCTCTGAAACATGTCGTAAACCGTCCTGGTGTCGTCATAGTAAAAGTCCAGCAGCAAGTCATCTTTTAGAAGAGCTGATCGTCTGCAGCTGGGATCTCCCTGTGACACACACCTAAAATTCTTTAATGTCTACCCAGACACATATCTGAATGCATGTCTACTTACAGTGGCCATGGTCCACTCACATTTACAGCCACAGACTGGGCTCCTAGATCACAGGGAGGAAGCATGGGTCGAGGTCGACTCATCAGCCAATACGCAGTGATGGAGGCTACGGCTCCTAAACCCAGCAGAGAGGAAGTAGACAGGGACAAGGAGGGAAGAGGAGGGGGCAGAGGCAGCAGACGACTCCACAATTCCTCCGTGTTCGAGCGAGAGCTGAAGCCAAGTGACAATAGCCACTCCAGAAACTGCATAGCTAAGAAGAAAGGACAAAAAAAAAGAATAGCAGTTAAACAGATGGAAATCTAATCATTCTGTCGCATGAAGTAAATGGTTTTGTGCTGTTCAGAAAACAAGGGAAAACCTTCTGTCTATGGATGGACTATAACATAGACCAGCAGTCCCCAGCTGGTTTTGGTAACACTGAATTGGTAACACCACACTGAAAGTTGAGGGGTCATTAAGGATATGTAAATGTAGTAATGTTTAAAATTGTAGTAATGTTTAAATTAAAATTCTTGGCTCTTAACTAACTCTTCAGGAGCCTAACTAACTCTTCAGGAGTTAGTTAGGCTATTCCTGGGGTGGTTGCGCAGTGGCGCAAAATAGTACATACAGGCGCTGGATAGATTGGTCTAAACTAGCTACCTTACATGTGAAGGGTTGGACTGATTTGTTAGGGGAGAATGGCTCTTCAAAGGCATGAAATAATTTTCACAAGGTTTATATTTTCATAGACTGGTGTTGGGTATCAACTTGTCATAGAAGAATGAAACAGTTTATATGGTTTTCATAACCTAAACTTGAAAAGCAGCAGAAACATGTCAACGGGAAAAAAAATGTCTGTTGCAGAAACTAAAGAAACTCTCCATCTAAAACTGTAAGAGAAACCAACAGTTTCCACACTCTCTCCACTTGTGAAAGTTTAAAACAGAAGCCTGAAGAGTCTTGTTGAAAACATTAAATCACACTGGGTCACAAGCTTTGGCAGGAAACCCAGTGTGAAGAGAAGAAAAGAATGAAAAGGCTCTGAGCTGGATATAGTTGAGGGTACGGGCGGAGAGGGGGGTTTGGGGGGTGGAGAGACACCAGGAAGTAATAATGATTGGTTTAGAAGAAAGAGGCATGGAGGCTACCCTCAGTCATGTCGTTGGGCTACAGTTTCAGTCAGAGACTCTGGGTCTGTATAGTTGGTGAGAGGCAGCAGACAAGGAACATGACTCCCAGTCTGTCTTCACTGATATATATAGAGGGGCTGTAGGCCATATTTTTTCTTAAATATGGCCTACAGATTACTCTTGTATCCAAAGCAGAGCATTAGATTTTCTCCAGCCAATCACAATATTCACCACCACACCATGCCAGGAATTTACATCAATGAATAAATCTCCCTTTTCCCACATTCACTGCCCTCCCTGAACACCCCTCAACCTCTCACCCACTTTCTCCCACCCCCAACACTCCATAAAAGATGTGCAAAGAGTGATATCATACCCCTCCCTTTTGAACTGGGACCATCCTGGTCGTTCAATGGCAAAAGGATGATGTCATAAACTGAACTAAATTAACCAACAGATTTATCATTACTGCATGCATTTATGGTTTGAATGAAAACAACTTGTTAAGTCACCAACAGGAAAATAAAAGTAGCAACAACAACAATCTGGGTTTGGAGCAATAAACAGCCAACAAAGGAAGAAATTACAAAACAGAATTAGACTGAATGAAAATTTGACAAATGGAATAAAAAAAAAAACTTGGCACAGAATAAGCAACTTAATCAATGACTAAATTAGTACTATTTTAATTACTGTTGTGATAGCAGTTTTAGAGTAAGGGGTTCCCATATGTCAGTAACATCCGCTTCCTTTCATGCACAAATATAATAAAGAACATCATTATATGTATATATACACATTATATATATAT